ATTTTGCATAAGCATTAGTCTCTCTTCTGAGTTTTGTCACAAGCGATTTAGGAAATATTTTTTCAAAAGCACTTATTGGTGTAGGTATGTCTGCTTTGTTCACATTGGGACCAGGATGTTCACCTGTGAACTCTTCAACAACATGTCTTCGGAGTGTCGGAGTCCAACCATCACTATCAGCAACATTGTCATCATCTTCATCATTAGAAACACATGTAGGTTCAATATACTCTGAGTCACTTGGCCAGGTTGTTTCTATTTGTGTGTGAGCATGAATGCGATGATGTGTGCTGTTCCTGTCATCATCATCAGAGTCCATCTCTTCACCTGATGTAGTGTCCATGCCACTGTCAAGATTAGGAGGTACTACCCCATTTTCACCATCATCATCACTACTATAAAGGTCACTTTCATCACCACCCTGATTCTCTCTGCCATCATCATTTCCATCATCCTGATCGTCATTGCCATCACCTTGATCATTGCCATCACCATCCTCATTTTCATTACCATCACCATCCTGGTTTTCATTACCATCACCATCCTGGTTTTCATTACCATCACCATCCTGGTTTTCATTGCCATCATCCTGATCTTCATTGCCATCACCCTGATCTTCATTGCCATCACCATCCTGGTTTTCATTGCCATCACCATCCTGGTTTTCATTGCCATCATCCTGATCTTCATTGCCATCACTCTGATCATTGCCATCACCATCCTGGTTTTCATTGCCATCATCCTGATCTTCATTGTCATCACCCTGGTCCTCATTGCCATTACCATCCTGGTTTTTATTGCCATCACCATGCTGATTTTTATTGCCATCACCCTGGTCCTTATTGTGATCACCAACTAGGTTCTCAATACCATTACCACCCTGGTTCTCCTCAGTCTCAATTGTCTCATTGTTCCTTTCATCAGTCATGTTACTAGTACCCCCATGACCCTGTCTCTTTTTATGATGTCTTGGCCATTTTCTGCGTTTAGTGGTTTGTGCAGAATGGGGATCACATGTATCACTATCACTGTCTGCATAACTGATATATGATGTTTTGAGCGATGTCTGCGCTTACGAGAATGAGAACCTACATGACTGGGGACACTAGTATCACTAGTAGTGTCCATAGGAATAACTTGGTTATCTCCTACCTGATCATTTTGTACCCTCTCCTTCGATTCAGTTGGCAAATGATGCTTCTTCACCCTCACTTTGCCAGATCTATTCTTAGACGATTCTGTAATGAGATCATGTTCTTGTTCAGTTATATTCAATGAAGCTATATCTCGAGAGTCATGTTTCATGCAAGAGTAACAATCTGTAGAACCATGCACTGCAATGACAGTAACAAATGAAGACTATTAGCCCATAATTCCAAATTATGAAATCAATTCATTTACTCATTGACTTTATCAAATGTAGTATGATAATCTGATTTACAGGAAATGTTGTGGAGGCAAGTCATATACAGTATTCATATGTAATTTAGGAATAGCCTAGTACATGTAGTTAGCTTTCATGGTCAGCCATGTTATATAATATGGTTGTTTATTTGCAAAGCAAACAACCAAGCTCAACTGCCTTCTTTCATGAAAACAAAGGTTGCTTCATTTCTATTTGCACAAGCCCAAGTGTAACTTGCTAAGTTTCTTGATTGTCTACGTTCAATTTACTTGTAGTATAGAATCACCCAAGTCTAACTCAATCAGTTTTTTTGACCATCCAAGTTGAATTTATTTGTAGTGGAGACAACCCAAGTTCAACTTATTTGTAGTGGAGACAACCCAAGTTCAACTTATTTGTAGTGCAGACAACCCAAGTTCAACTTATTTGTAGTGCAGACAACCCAAGTTCAACTTATTTGTAGTGCAGACAACCCAAGTTCAACTTATTTGTAGTGGAGACAACCCAAGTTCAACTTATTTGTAGTACAGACAACCCAAGTTCAACTTATTTGTAGTGCAGACAACCCAAGTTCAACTTATTTGTAGTGCAGACAACCCAAGTTCAACTTATTTGTAGTGCAGACAACCCAAGTTCAACTTATTTGTAGTGCAGACAACCCAAGTTCAACTTATTTGTACTGAAGACAACTCAAGTAGTACTTACTATGTTTGCCCATGGTCCAAGTACAATTTACTCAGTCTGCACAGTGCTGGAAAAATCTCTAGTAGGAGCAGCAAAAAGCTGTGTATATCCTTCAGTTGCAAAAGGCAAATAATGCTGTACACTGCAAAAGTATGCTAAGTATGTTTACTTTCTGGACTCCCTGGTGAAATTAGCCTAGATATTGAGTCACCCCTTAGGGAGGGGCAGATGACCTTTGCATACTGATTTGAACTTGGTAGAAAACACAATAGGTTCTTGGTAAACATAGCAACTTGTACTTGGTGCAGAAAGGGTGTCAGCCTGCAGGCACCCAGAAGCACCATAACAAGTTAGACTTGGGAGGTACATTTACAAAGAAAAAAAAATGTTATGCTAATTTATTTGTTTTGTGTTTCGGTCTACAACCCTATGTATTTACAATGGGCATGAAAATAAAAACTCTACCAATTAGCAGTTCCAATCTTACAGTTGGTAGTTAGAACATTCATGGGTTAGGTGACAAGACTGAAGAAGTCGATTTTTTATCAATTTTGAAAAGATTTGACATTTTATGTTTACAAGAAACTTGGTTAGGTGTTAGTAGTAGTAGTCATGTATTAGATATCGATATATACAGTTATTTTAGATCTGATAGAAAAGGGATTCAGGGGGTGTGGCTTTAATATTTAAAAATGAATTGAAAGCCGGTTTAAGTAAAATTAATTCTGAAATTAATGATTTCTTATGGTGTAAGCTACACAAAGAGTTTTTCCCCTGCAATTTAATATTTATTTGAGATGTATTTATATTCCTCCTGCAAACTCTGTGTATCATTTGGATCACGATTACTTTGACATACTAGATAAAGAAATTACAAGATTCTCCCAACAGGGGTAGGTTATAATTATGGGGGATTTCAATAGCCGTACAGGAAACCTAGTAGCTTATGTTTCATTCGATGATAACTTTCATATACCAGTGCCAGATAATTATACACCAGATCAGTTCACACAAGATAAAGTTTCTAACAAATTTGGAAAACAATTAATAGAGATCTGCTTAAATAATAACATCATAATTAATAATGGTAGAACAATAGGTGATTCAATTGGCAACTATACTTACCATCACCCAATGGGTTCAAGCACAGTCAGCTGGCGCACACGTGATAATAAAATAAATGCGATATTTACTATATGGGGGCCGCCATCTTGAATGACGCATAAAACTAAATAAGAGACAAGTTGTGAAACGCGTTTTTCAGATTCCTACAAATCAGGACAAAAATACCAATCTTTCACAAAAATACGGTAGAACATAGAACACTAAGCCGG